ATAAAATAACTTAATGAGTTTATTAACACTGACATTGAGAACTGGGTAACAGCTCAAAGCTTACTGTAATCTTATAAAATTATTGATGTTAATGAGCATTCTGTAGTTATCTTTTGAAACTGTTATTTTTCTCTGATGCTCAAGAACAAATTATTTTTGCTGCATGTTGAGATACAAATATAAGTATGGTTCTTTTTTAGGTGCATAACATTATTTTAATTTTGTTTTAAATTGTATACAATTTTTGTGTGTAATCCACTTGAATATGCAATTTGAAAAATAGAAATAATACAGAAGTCTAATTTAAAGTATTTCATTGTTAAAATGATGTGAATCCACTTACTTTTATTTGATTGTAATCATTTTGTTTTAGATCACAATTTTGCAACTCTCTGCTTTACTGAAGCAAGCCGACTCCAGTAAACGTAAACTTACCCTAACAGTAAGTGTTTGTTTGTTTATGAACTCTCTTCAGCCTTGTAAGTATTTTACAGCCATATTTCTTAAAGAGATGTAACAGTTCTAGACAAAAACTTGTTAACTATAAAATGGATTATGAATTGTGACTGGATTCATGAACAGCTTAATAATATTACTGTTGTACTTCTACAAATTTAGTTTGAAAATAGCTCATACTGTTTTTTATGGAAATTGATAAATATGAAAAATTATATGAAAGTTATCAAATACAAAACTAAATTGTGTTGAAAACTTGTTCTTCATGTACCTTTCCTTAGACAATACTGCACCACTTACTTGATAAGAATGATTTGAAACATTCTAAAATGTTAATTTTATTGAGACATTGCATACTTTGTTATTATTAGAGGCAAAGTAACGTAATAGGAAATAAAATTTCTTTTTGTAAATTTGATCTAAATCAGAGAAAATGTATTTTACCAATGGCCATCCAAGATTTGTTTTCATCTTTTGAAGATTTGAATGTGATGTATTCTAATACAAAATAATATGAAATCAGTAGTTGCTTTTTAATTGTGAGCCAACATTGGTTTTAATTACATATCAAAAATGTGTTTTTTTGTTTTTTTTAATTGGCTGGATGCGACCTGGTAATTAGTGTGCCAGATTTTGAATCTGGGGTCCATGGTTCATGTCCCATTACTATAAAACCTATTTGATCAGATAAGAATAGCCAAATTGTTGTTGCTGGTAACTAGATGTCCTTCCGTTTTGTATGTCAACTTGTAATTACGGGTGGCTTGCACAGGGTAGGCCCTTGTGTGGCATTGTGCAAGTGATCAAAACATACAAATGTTTATTAACATTAATGGAAATTTTATTTTTATAACCCATTAAGCAGGCAATATGCTATTCAGAAAGTGTATATCATTGTGGTTGTATGATTATTGAGAATGGCATATTGGTTAATGTGCAAGTTTGTTTCCTTTTGTATAAATACCTCTGATAATTTGAATATGATAAAGCAAAGTTGACAGCTTTCTAAGTTTATAAACAGGTATGCTAATTATTCTGTGCTTTATTGTATTGTAACTATGATGGCTAAATTATAAGTATTTCTAATATTTGCCTTTTTATTGCTTTACAACATGCTTTTGCTAACTACTACTCTAAAGTAAGTTACTAGTGATATTTGGGTATTATTATCCTCAGAAAGATGGGGATCAAAATGTGGTAAATATTGGGAGCAAAATAACTAAATCCAGTTTATAATATTTCTTAATCAAAATGCAAAAGGTGTGCCCACCAGTGACTTAGTGGACTAGTCTGCAGGCTTATGGCACTAATATCCATGATGGGCAAAGCACAAATAGCCCATATTTGCTGCTAAGTGCTTAAATTTGGCTAACATTAGCATTCTACATCAATTTACAGATCCTCACATTGTGTGCAAGAGTAAATAAAGTGTGTAGTGTAAAAGAAAGTCCTAAATTCAGAAAAAATCAAAAATATTAATATGTATAGTGTTAACACACTAAATCAGTTTACAGATCCTCATGTGGGATGAAATTCCGAGTAAAGGAAAGAGACTGAGTGTGTGTAATGTTATAGGACTTTCCAACTGTAAAACATGTTTTTCTTACTTTGAGTCATACATCAGGAAAGCTCACTTGTTTAAAACAAAAGTTTGTAGTAAATTGTAAATAGATTACTTTATTTAAATTCATTTAATTAATGGCTTAAGCAAAACACTGCATTAACAGTTATTAAAAATTGCTTTGAACATCAAGTAATTTGAGATTTCATCTGTCTGTCTTTCAACAGAAACTTTCAAAACATATATAAACATATTTAGAATTCTTGAGTGTTAGCATGAGGTCCTTCTGATATACCTGAACCACTTGTTAGGAGCAACATGGAAACTAATACTTTCTAGTGTTAGCATTAGGTCCTTCTGGTACACCTGAACCACTTTTTTTAGGAGATATGTGGAAACAAAGTTTTTTGTCTTCGTACTTACTAACGAAGCACCATCTTGAGCATTATTATGAATATTATTAATATTTCCAGTACAAAAATAATTCATTTGATTAAATGAAAGTACTTACTAAAGGTTTTGATATTACTCAAACTAAAGGCAGAATATACATTCTCTAATGAGTGAGTGTTGTTCTACAAGAAGAAAAACTTGGACAAATGATAATAAAGACTAAATTAACACATCTAAATGAAAACTTTATCTAGTTTTATTTTGTGCGACAATTCGAGCAGACGACTCTCATCAGGCAGTAACGTCTGCTTAAAATGTTGCACAAGATAAAACTAAGTTTTCATGTAAACGTGTCAATTTGTTCTTTATGATACCTTCTTGAACCTACAGTGTATGTATAAGCTATATGTATTACTAGGCTGAATTAGCTGCCAATTTTATACACAGAGACGTTAAATTAAAAATAAATAATTTATTATGGTCTTTATTTTCTGTGTTAATATAAATTTATACTCTAAATACGGTTTAAAAACTTAAGTTTTCAGTATTACAAAAGCAAAATGCCCATTAATTTTTCATTTTAATCATCTGTTCAGTTCTTGTACTTAGTCAGCAGTTTGTAAACATTTTATTTACAGGATAAATGTTAATTTAATACTGAAGCACAGTGTATGTATGCAGTATTACAAATCTACTGTATTTTAATATTAGTAGCACCCTAGAGATACAATATTTAAATGTTTTTATTTATACCTTATTAAAGGAATTATTAAGGAATAAAATAGAATTTCCTTAAGTTCTAAGAAAATCTGTATTTTTATAAGCTTCTTCAATTTTGTAGCGATTAGCCTCTGCTCCTGTTCCTTTCACTGTTTTGTCTATTGCTGGCAATCTCTGTAATGAAGACTTCCTTGCAGTTTGTGGTCTGAAGGTATGTTAATGTCTATCCATTTTTATCTTGGACTCATGTTGAGGTTTTATTCATATCAACACCAAACAACTCGACAATGCTGCATTTTTAAAGTTACGTGAACCATTAATACTCGGGAAAGTAAATATAGACTTTAATCTTTATTTATCTGTACTGTATTCATTTTCTTAAGATCCATTTTGTTTTTTATTTTACACAAGTTGTTTAGTACATATGTGTGGAGATTATTGTGTAGGATTACATCATGAACTGAGAATGTTGCATTTTGACAGGACTGCCACGTGTTGAGCTTCAATAGCACTGGTTCCGTATCCGATCACATTGTTCTACACCCACAGCTGGAAGGAAATAACTACATCATCAAGGTATGTATTTATTCTTATCCATAACAACTTTATAACAAATTATAATCCATTTCATTAAAATCCAAGTCCTAGCCATTTAGCTTAAGTACCACATAAGGTTCTGCTAAGTTGAAATTGCCAATTTTTCTCAAGATTCTCCCTTATTGTCATATTGTAACATTTAACCTCCAAATTTCTATCTGTAGCATAATGGTAAAAATACAACAGCTGTTAGCAGCTTTCAGAGAGAACAAATTTGTTTTTAAGAAATAGTACTAGAAGCTAGGTAATCTATAGACATGCACATTTTAGTGTTCTAATTTCTGATTAAACTGTATATTCATTAACATTCAAATATGTTGCTTGATAACCACGGTGCAGTGAAACACAGTTTAATGGAAATTTTTGTTTGTACCATGGGTTGAAAGTTGGGAAAATATTAGCAGCAGAAATCCTATACTTCCTGTTCATTTATTTCTAGTTGAAAGAAACGGTTCCTGTTCAATTGTTTCTTTCAACTAGAAATAAATGTTAAAGATAAAACCTGAGAGTGACAGTGCAGATTACACTAATAAAAGTTATTTGTAACATAAAGAAGGAATATAAACTGATAAGCCAAAGATATAGATAGTGCATTTCTAAATAAGTTGTTTATTAATAATAATTGCAATAGTGCTTAATTTCATTTGTAAATGTAGTTAATGCATGGTTTTAATGTTAAAATAATTCTATATTTATTTGTTTAACAGGCCCTATGGCTTCCTGGCTGCCAAACAAAACTTGCTGTAGTCTCGGCTGACTTTATCAAAATTTATGACTTATCACAGGATGCCTTGAGTCCACAGTTCTACTTCTTACTTCCTAGCGGAAAGATCCGTGACAGTTGCTTTGTTTTTACCGAAGATGGACAGCAGCATCTCTTGATCATGTCATCAGCTGGGCACATTTATTACCAACCACTTTTGGAAGAGAGCTCTGCCCAGCATGGACCTTTCTATGTTACTAACATCATGGAAATCAAACATACGGACACAAAGGTAATGTCAGAAACTCAGAATAAAGAACATCCAGACACAAAGTTGTATCTATCTCTATAAGTTAAACAATCAGGAACCAAGGACAGTAACATTTATATGTGTGAACAGCACGTATCTTTCTATTCACTAATTATCGAATTTTTGTTATTACAGGACACCAATGGTACAGTAGCAGGAGGAGGTGTTTCAATTTACTACTCCCACACCATGCAACTACTTTTCTTCTCATACTCAAATAGTAAAAGTTTTATTGCACCTCTTCCAAAAATGACCCCAGAAATCTCACTTTTGTTTCAAATCCATTTTGCTTCAAGCAATGGCAATGACAGCAAGTCAAACCCTCAGCCCCTCTGCCAGTGGTCAGAAATACCCCAGCATCCTGGCTTGGTCTTAGCTTTGATGCAGTCATCAAATAATCCTGTTACTCTAATGGTTAAACCGGATAGCATCCAGGTACAAGAGATCAAGTACATGACTGCAAAGTCCAAGATCACTGACCTGGTCGCTCTACGACATTTGACTTACAATGGGGAAACAAGGACAACACTAATCTTACTGTGTGAGGATGGAAGTCTAAGAATCTACATGGCAAATCAAGAAAGCACTGGTTTCTGGCTAATGCCAGCATTCCAGCCAACACCTTTACCATCTTCCAAACCTTCCAAAAAGAAAAAAACTGCAAAAAGTGGACGTCCTCCAGGAGCAGTGAACTTTCCCGTGGACTTCTTTGAACAGTGTACTAGCTTGAGTGATGTAGAGTTTGGAGGCAATGATGTGCTTCAAATCTATAACACCCAACAGTTGAAACACAGATTAAACACCACAGCAATGTATATTGCAAGTACAAAACCTACGGGTTTTTCTGTGGAGGTCACTAACACTGACAACTCAATGGTCATGGTTGGTGCTCGCGTTCTTCTTGGAAGTCAAGACAGTCAACGTGTACCTTCCTATATTGAAGTTTTTGGACGCTGTGTTCAGGTATCTTTGACTCGTAATCGTTGGTTTGACCTTCCCTTCACACATGAAGAATCTCTCACGGCTGATAAGAAATTGACCATTACATTTGGTCCAAGTTCTGACCCTTCTGGAATCACCATGGTAGATTCTATTAAAATATATGGAAAAAGCAAAGAAAATTTTGGATGGCCTGAAGATAGTGAGGACTTTCCTTCTGCTACTGGCACATCTCTTCCTGTGACAGGTCCAGTTATTGGTATGGACAGTGATGGAATTCCTGCAGCTCCTTTACCTCTAACTCCAACAGACAGGTTTGTTTTAACCTTGGGAAAATGACTGAGAAATGATATTCATATACATTGTCCTAACAGAGTAAAAATTAATGCCTTTGTCAACCATCATACACATTTAATAGTTTATGAATGCACTGTTCAGGAGTAGTATGTCATTTACACTTCTTGTCTTTTGTGAGTGAGAAATAATATTCATATACATTGTCCTAAGAGAGTAAAAATTAATGCCTTTGTCAACCGTCATACACATTTAATAGTTTATGAATGCACTGTTCAGGAGTAGTATGCCATTTACACTTGTTGCCTTTTGTTTTGTAAGCATTCGTGTACTGCATCATAACTTTGGACTTCAAAGTTTGTTTTAAATTATTTTTGGAACTGTTATTTTAATGTTCCCTGGTCCAAAAAGAAAAAGCACTGTAGCTCTTAAACATGTACTGTAATTTAGATGCTTTTTGTGGATTTAAATGGTTAGAAACATGGACTTGCTGTTTGACTATTTTTCTCAGTTAAAAAAAACAAATGTACAACCCCAATAGAATCTTCTTCTTTTTTTTTTAATGATACATATTGTTGAGAGCACTGTTGCCTTCACTTATTGGTAATATTTTTGGTTGTGGCTATAGAAAAAATTAAAACCATAAGTCAATGAAGAATTTTGTTTCACATCCTATTATAACTAGTATATTTGGTACTTATAACTTTAAAATGGCTGGTTTACATTGAAATAATCCACTTTTTAATTACTGAATAGACATCTTCCAATCAGTTGCTAGTTTTATGACAAGTTAGTTAGTAGCACTCTAGATAAAAATCATGATTAAAACTTCTTACCTCTTGTTAAGTTTCTCAGAGGGTAAAGAATCACACCCAAGAGTTGATGAGTTCATGTTTAAAACATTGTCTTTCATTTCTCAGGCTGGTGAGCAGCATCCTTGAAGTGTTTGATGGGTGTTTCTCCGTGCGCTGTAACACTGAAGGGGAAAAAGAACTGAGAGATAATGCTTTGGATTTAGCAACAAATCTTTTAACTCTTCCTACACCCCCAATTGTCCATCAACATGTCAAAGCTCTTTTGGCCACTCTACATTATACCCAAGCTGCCTACAGCAGTCATAAAGTATGTACTTGTAACAAGTAGCAAAAGTAATGCACTTTAAGCTTGATATTTCTTTATTAATCTCAGAAACATTTTCCTTTTTTGTTGTTAATGTGCAGTGAAATATATATATTTTTCTTCTAAAACTTACTTGATATTATGTAAATAATTCATTCACATAATATCAAGTAAGTTGCATGAGTTTATTTGAAGTATAGCATAAAAGTTGTGACAATCCTGCCTCAAAGAGAAAAATCTGTAACCATTGGTGTTTAACACTAGATTTTTGTTGTAAAGAATAACTTTATGCCCAGCCCCACATATTGATCAGGACAGTGAGTGTGTTAAGCGTAACGATAATCTATTCATAGTATTGAACCCAGATTTCCAGTTCCTTTAATTCTTTCAGCACTGGCTCGGTTCCTGGGACTGACTTTGTAACCATTTTGTGCTTGTTATAGTTTTCATGGTATAACTTTTTAATTAGTAAGTGTATGTTAACAAAATTTGGCAGATTATCAGTAAACATTACAATGCTTTCATACTCAAAATATCAATTTTTTTTTTTTATCAAGTCTTAAGGTTTGTAAAGCAATGTTTTTCTCCTACCTTTTATTTTTTCTTTTCGCATGTTGCTTATCTAACATGCAAAGTAAT